TCTCTCTTAAAGGGAAGAGCATGTTAGCTGTGCTTAGCACTGAATGAAGCTATTCTGGTCATTTGGTAACTTATCATCCAACTGTTTCTCTCCTTTCACTTTTGCATTGATAATGGAAAGAAAAGATCTCTTGAGGTTTTATTTTCACCAGTGTTTGGTTGCCATGAGCACTGACAGGAGCAGTGCTGTGACTTCACAGTTCTCAGTTCAGGTTGCTTTAAAAAAGACATTGCAACCTGACATCTCACCAAGAAATAACAACACTGAACTTGCCAGTCTTGGCAGCTCCAGCTCAGAGCTTCATGGAAAGATTATCAGCCAGTTTGCCACAGCCTTCCCTGACTCTTCTTCTCTTCTCAGCAGCTTGAATGGACTTGTTCCATCTGATGTGTCCCTGTCCAGGCTGGAGCCTGCTGTTAGCCCTGGCCATTGCCACAGAGATTCAGAATGAAGAGTGGATGGTGCTCACTAACTTCTGGAATATTGACTTTTAGTGTAGGATGGAGACTACAAACAAGCAGCAATTTGTTGGTGCCCTTTACCTCCTGAAGTTTTTGCTATCATTTGCCCACTCTGTAGTTTTCCTATAATGAATTACATGTTTCTTAAGCAATTACTGTTCTAATCGATGTTGAGTGATTACATGATTTTGCTTCTGTGGGAAGAGAATCCCCTTAAAACCACAGTGAGTGCAATGAGGGATCTCAGGATGAAGCCTGAGGAAACCAACCAAACCTAACAAATCTTAAACCTGCTCTTCCCTTTCCTTTTGGAGCTATTCTCACAGCCAACCTGAGAGAACACAACTGTGCAGGGATTTGGTTTTTAGGGTCTTGGGGGTTTCTTTTTCACATGTGGTTTTTTAGCAGTATTTTTTTTTTTAATTTTTGTAACTTTTAATGCAGTTTTACCAGTTCTTTTAAGGTGGGATCCATGAAAGAAAGCCACCAGAGCTGTGGGGTGGCTTTGTGTTGTCCCTCACAGCTTCTCACATCTTTGCTGTGTGGGTTCAAGCATGACTGAGCATCACTTGCTGCTTGTGAACCTCTCAGGGGATGCTGATCTCCATTCAGGCTCAGCTCTCTCCTCCTCCCTGGGCAGAGCAGGTGAAGGTGCAGACTCAGTGCCCTCTGCCCTGGTTTTGTTTGCTGTGGGAATGATGTGTGGAGCTGCCTGGCCCCAGGCTTTGCCCACTTGTGCTCCAGCATGTCAATGCCTCCTGCTTGTGGCCTGGGAGCTCCTGTGGCATAGAGCCAGGGCATTAGCAACTTAGCCCTTCTCCTGCTGCTGCCACAGAGATGCAGGAGGTTAATTGTGAGAGTGAAATCAGTCGTCATTAAAGCTGCCTGTGCTCACAGGCTGAGGTGTTTTGATGAGACTCTGTGTATTCAGGACAGAACATACTAATTTCTGTCTTCAGCTCTGGGAGGTTTGAACTTCTTCCCCTGCTGATTGAGGTCAGGAGGGACACTCCTGGCCCTTTTCTGTGGCATCATCCCTAGCTGTGTCTCTTTTTCCCCACCCTAACTAGCCTGTTAGTTTTGCACTCCTGCTGACAGCTGAGCTATTGCTTAACTGCCTTAGCTCTCTGTCCAACTCCACAGTAAATGAAATCTCCAGCACAGATACCTAGAGCTGAGCAATGCCATCCCCACAGGGCCCTGCCAGAGATCCCTCCTGGTTGTTTCCATGGTGCTGAGGTCTGTGTGGTGCCTCTGCAAAGGGCTGGAGTGAAGGAGCTGTGAGAAATCCAGTGTAGGTGGGACCTTGCCTGGTGCAGTGATTCACATCCAGCTGATGTGGCCGTGGGTGTTTGCAGAGCAGAACTTGAGCTGGGCTTGGGTTGGGTTAGCTTCAGCTTTGCAATCACAGGGGTGCAGAGCACTGAGAGGAGAGTGAAGATAGATGGCAGCTCTGAAAAACATGGAGATGGTTTCTTTGGATACAGCCAGGACTCACCTCCTTTCTGTGCTGGCTTTGCCTGTTTGTTTGTGCTCCAAAATACACTGATCTTCTTGTAAAATGTTCTTTCACCTCAGGGGTTGTAAAGCTGCAATGTGCAACGTACTCTTTTGTAAAAATCTGTCTTGCTAAATTAGAAAAGTCTTGATAGGTTTGAACTGATGTTCCCTGAGCTTTGGGAGAAGAGTTTGAGCTGTACTGAGAAAAGAGTTCGAGCTGTACTAGGAGGAGAGTTTTAACTCTACCGTGAAGCTTATGATCAAATCCAAATATTTTTATCAGCTTTTATCATCTTAATGAATTCATTGAAGAAAAAATGCCCCAAAGTCATCAGTTCTTGAGTATTTTTGTGTTTAGTGTTAACAACAAGAGGCTGTGATTATGTAAGCCAATGTAGCTGAAGGCCCTGTATGGAGGGGGAAGTGTAGGATGAGGCTTCCAGCAATGCCCTGCAGCCCTTGTGCTCTCCTCAGCTCACTTGGGTGTGCTGTTCATTGAAGGAATCTCAGTGAAGGATGCAGTTAGCTGCTGTTAACTCCTGTGCCATCCAGCTGGCATGTTCCTTGCCTATAGAAGAAGAGAGATGACTAGAAAATGCTTCAAAACTAGCAAAGCCAACTTGTCCTCACAAACATCTCCTGTCAGCTTCTCACGGTGCTGAGGTTGTACTTAGCTTTGGGAAGTTGCTTGTGTAGCTGGGGAGAGTCTCTGATGGCTGTGCTGCCAAAGGGGGAACATGCCAGTGTTATCCTACCTCCTGCTGATCCCTGGTTTCTGTTTCAGCTGCTTGAGTTAGGACTCCCCTCAGGGGAAGCAGTGCTTGCCCAGGACCAGGGCAGCACCAAGGTGAGTTGTGGTGTGCAACTCCTAACAATGAGTGGTGTGTGCCCACAGAGACTAACCCTGGTCAGTCAGTGCTGCCCATGGAGGGTGGGCAGAGGGAGGGAGGGGGAGGCTGTGCTGGCTGGTTCATTAGAGGTGCTTGTGATAACATGGGATAAAATGTTT